TTTATTTATTTGACAGAGAGAGACACAGCGAGAGAGGGAACACAAGCAGGGGATGTGGGAGAGGGAGAAGAGAAGCAGGCTTTCCATGGAGCAGGGAGCCCAATGCTCCTGGGCTCGATCCCAGGACCCCAGGATCATGACCTGAGCCAAAGGCAGACACTTAACGACTGAGCCACCCAGATGCCCAGAGTCAAGTATTTTTTAAAACAAAGAAAAGGGTTATGCAAACTGAGCAGGAACTCCCATTGAATGAGCTAAGGAAATGAGTGACAGGAAGCCTGATCAAAATAATTCAGAATGTGAGTGGGATGTTTGCCTTCTTCTTATATATATTGTGAGAAGAATTGGGACTGGAGTGTTGCATTTGAGAGCCAGCAATTCAAGCCAACATTTTGGTTCTAAACACTTCTATAGTTTTTCCAGACCAACCAGCTAGATAGAAGCCATACCAGCTGCATTACTGCCTTTCAGCAATGCCTAGGCCCTGAATTTCTCAGCGTCCCCTTCAGTATTTCTCTTCCTTTGCTTCCATGCGGGGGGGCTCTTCCGGCGTCTTCTCTTTCCCTTTTGTTCCACTTAGAATTTAGACTCGTTTACTTTCCAGTTGTCTCAATTATAGGTACAAAGTTATAGCTCTGGTGGGCTCCTTTCCTGGTGAAATTAAGCCCATGGATAGTAAGCTTGGAAAGGTCAGGAGACACACACACACACACACACACACACACACACACGCACACAAGATCAATCCTCCTGTCAAGGCCAGGAGATGGGAGGGTTCTTGGGTGATTCTACTTCTTGGGATATTCTTGCCATTTCGGCCTTTCTCTGACTTCATGATGGCTGCATACTAGCCTGGGGTCCTTCAATTATCAAATACTTTTTTTCTGAATAAATATTTATAGTGCCACTATTTGGTGTTTTAAAAATAACCTTCTGCTATCATCCATTTTCTAAATGCTGTTGAAGGCATGCCTGTCCTCCTCAGTAGACCACTATTGCTGTGTAGCCACTTTTCTACAGGAGTACGATTCTATATTTGTGTGGCTATTGTCAAAAAGCAAAGGTGCACTGTTAGCTTGGGATGCCCTGAGCGCAGAGGAGAGACAGCAGTTACTCTGGTGGCCTAGGGCAGGCTAGTGGTTACGGTCAGATATACCACCCAGGTTTGCCCTAGTCAGGAAGAACAACTGGTATTGATTGGCTATCTCTTCTATATTTAAAACTTTTTACAGGCCTCACAAAAAATAACTTATAATACTCTCAGAGTATAAAAGGGCTTCTGGGATGATAGAACTTTTCTTGGAGAATGCTTCCAAAACTTGAAGTGGAAGTTCCATTTGTATCCTGCAGTTATTCATGAAATAAGCTCCCAAATGAGCATACATCTCAGGATTCAGCTTGGGGTCTCAGTAACAGGGTAATGGTTTGGTGACCTCATGAATAGACACTAGGCTGTGATTTTTGAGGTAACCAAGGCAGCCAGGTTTCTATGCTTTTATTATGATGTTATACAAGTACTCTATGGTCACTGTAGAAAAATTTGGAGAATATAGGGATGTATATAGAAAAAAAAGCAAATTATGCATAATCCCATCATTCAAAGAGGTTATGCCTATTAACATTTTGTAGTATTTGTGTAGATCTTTTTCTGTGTACAGACAGTAGATTTGCAGCTTCAGGAGGTTTAATATTTGTCTGTGATTTGTGATTACGATGGTTCCATGAAGAATTGCAGTTTGTTGTCTAGCTAAGACACTGTGTGCATCATGTATACTATAAAGTTGGTGTGTACAGTGACCTTGTTTGACCATGGAGCAGCCATGGCTCAGGGAGGCGTAGTTCTAGTTGCTTAAAGTTAGGAGAATATTAGGTGCTACAATATTACTCAAGAATTTTAAGATTTGTTAGGTCTCAGGCTGTGTCCTTGAAGGATATCAAGGGTATATGGTGGCCTGTGACTATGTGTATGTATGTGTATGCTTGTGTGTAATCACATTATATAATTAGTAGCCTGATTTTCTTCACTTAGTGTCATATTATAAACACTTTACCATGTTATTAGATAATATTTAGGAATTGGATAGGATAAAAAATTAGGTATTGGATATTATTTGGAGTGGCCAATTATATCCCATAAGTGGGTCTACCTTAACTTATTTAATATTATTAGAGTTAGAGACTTAAGTGGTTTAAAGAGTTTTGTTTATTCATTTGTCTTATTATTGCTATTTCAAGTAATGCTGTGATGAATGTCCTTATTATTTTATCTCAGAATCCTGTGAAATAATTAGGTCAACAGGTATATAAATGGATGGCTTTGAGATTTTTTGATACATATTGCCAAGTTGCTTTCCAGAAAGATTATTCTCATTGTCACTACTTTAGCAAGTTTAAACTGCTAGTTTTGGTATACCTGCATCTGTATTAAGGATTATAAAAATAATTAAAGCAATTTGACAACATGATAGTTATTATCTTTCTTTGCATTACTTGGATCATTTGTGCAGTTTAATATTTTTCTTCTGCTTATTGATCATTAAATTTCTTTTTTAATAAATCATATTCTTTGCCTGTTTTTTTAATTAACGTATAATGTATTATTTGTTTCAGGGGTACAGGTCTGTGATTCATCAGTCTTACACAATACACAGCACTCCCTACAACACATACCGTCCCCAATGTCCATCACCCAGCCACCCCATCCCTCCCGCCACCCTCCACTCCAGCAACCCTCAGTTTGTTTACTGAGGTTAAGAATCTCTTATGGTTTGTCTCCCTCTCTGGTTTCGTTTTTTCATTTTTTTCCTCTCTTCCCCTATGATCCTCTGCCTTGTTTCTGAAATTTCACATATCAGTGAGATCATATGATAATTGTCTTTCTCTGATTGACTTATTTCGCTTAGCATAATGCCCTCGAGTTCCATCCACGTCATTGCAAATGGCAAGATTTCATTTTTTGATGGCTGCATAATATTCCATTGTGTATATCTACCACGTCTTCTTTATCCATTCATCTGTTGCTGAACATCTAGGCTCTTTTTTAAAAATTTTTTATTGTTATGTTAATCACCATACATTACATCATTGGTTTTTGATGTAGTGTTCCATGATTCATTGTTAATATCTAGGCTCTTTCCATAGTTTGGCTATTGTGGACATTGCTGCTATAAACGTTGGGGTGCCCATGCCCCTTCGGATCACTACATTTGTATCTTTGGGGTAAATACCCAGTAGTGCAGTTGCTGGGTCATAGGGTAGCTCTATTTTCAACTTTTTGAGGAACCTCCATACTGTTTTCCAGAGTGGTTGCACCAGCTTGCATTCCCACCAACAGTGTAGGAGGGTTCCCCTTTCTCCGCATCCCACCAACATTGGTCGTTTCCTGACTTGTTAATTTTAGCCATTCTGACTGGTGTGAGGTGGTATCTCATTGTGGTTTTGATTTGTATTTCCCTGATGCTGAGTGATGTTGAGCACTTTTTCCTGTGTCTGTTGGCCATTTGGATGTCTTCTTTGCAGAAATGTCTGTTCATGTCTTCCGCCCATTTCTTGATTGGATTATTTGTTCCTTGAGTGTTGAGTTTGATAAGTTCTTTATAGATTTTCAATACTAGCCCTTTATCTAATATGTCATTTGCAAATATCTTCTCTCATTCTGTGGACTGCCTCTTAGTTTTGTTGACTGTTTCCTTTGCTGTGCAAAAGCTATTTATCTTTATGACGTCCCAATAGTTCATTTTTGCCCTTGTTTACCTTCCCTGTTTTTATATTAGTATTATTCTTATTAATTTGCAAGTGCTTTTTTTTTTTTTTTGCAAGTGCGTTAAATAAGAATTGGAATTAACCTTTGGCCTGTCCTAAGCCATGAATTTGCACCCTTCTCTCCATTCTATTGCTGCCATCCCAGGCCAACTCACCATCATTTCCCATCTGAATTGCTTCAGGAGCCAAAATTCATAGCAGGTCTGCAAGGATCCCCCTGATATGATCCCTGTTTATCTTTCTAGCTTCGCCATCGGATCATCTTCCTCGCTCTCTGCTCTGATCTTCCTTTATTTCTTTTACCATTCATTGTCCCTGTCCTGCATTGCCTTCACACACATTCTTATGCTTGGAGAGCTTCATTTTCCTCACCACTGTTCCTACACAACTTTACCTGACTAAGTCCTTCTGGGATGGGCCTCCTTAAACATCCTCATAGCATCCTGTTCTTCTTCCTTACATTGAAAACAACTATGATTAATTCATTCCCTTTTGTAAATTAAATTTTTGACAATTACCTGCATAATTTAGATAGGATGAATGATTGAAATGAGTTATTTGTGTACACACAAACACATCTGTTAGGAAGGAATTAAAAAAATATCTCTGTGGTTCATGGAATGAATCATTCTCAAAGAGTAGTGGAGAAGATAATGGGCCCTGGAGTCTGAGGACTTGGGTTGGAATCCTGGACCCACCAATTCTGAGCTGTTTACTCTTAGGCAAGTCACTTAACTTCTCTGTGTTTCACTTTTTTCCTTTGTAAAATGGGGTTAATACTAGAATCTATCTTTTATGATTGTTGTGAATTTTGAATGAGATAATTCATGAGGTATTTAGCACACAGCCTAGCACATGGTAAGTACTCTATAAATGTGAGTTATTATTCTCTTTTTCATGCTCATTTCCATCTTCTTTATCTTTGAACTTTATTAAGTGCCAACTCTGTAGAGCATAGTAGTAGATGGTATTTGGGTTTCTGGGTTTTGTTGTTGTTGTTGTTGTTTTCAGGGAATTTCTCTACTGGTTTTAAAGTGTTTCCTCTCAGATAATGTAGTTATTTTGATTATAGTTTGTGGCGCCCCTTCTGTCCCTCTGCCATTCTTCTTTAGGATATTTTACTTTTGCTTTCAGATTTGCTATATGTACCTTCTATAAGACAAAATAATTTCTCTCTGCTTCTTTTTTTGAAACATAACTTTTTGAGTATTAACACTCAGGTCTGTTTCTCTTAACAGCTGGCAAACTTCCCCAGACTCTGTGAGGAAACAGAAAGGATTGTTGCCAACCACATTCGCGAACGAGAAGGGAAGACGAAGGACCAGGTGAGGGGAGGCTTCCTTGGCAGGCAGGGTCCTTGTGGGGAGCGGAAGGTCTCTCTCTGGGGCTGTCTGGTGGTCTCCAGCAGTTGGCCTGTCTCTGAATGGAAAAAAGTAGCTGCGAACACAACCACATAGGTTTATTTGTACTTATTGATGAATTTTATCCATGTGTTGCTATGTTAACATCTTGTGTACGTTAAAAATATAAACAAGTATAAAAACTTCAGAAGGATGACATTTTGAAAGCAGTAATAGGAGTTCCATTACTTTTTTTATTCCCTCAGTGTTCCATGGATCATCATGTGTACCCCTAGCATGTACGCATCCCACTTTGAAAACCAAGAATCCAGAAACATACCACATTTTTTCTTTAGGCAGGGGTTCTTAACCTTAACAGATGGGTATCAGGATATTCATAAATTCCAAAAATGTTATGCACAGTGTTTGGTGTTTGCAGTTTCTTTTCTGAGGTGCTTATCCTTAAGAACAGCTCTTTTAAATGTTTCTATTTAGTAAATGCCTATGGCTTGTAAGGCGTGACCTTAAAATTATCTTCTAATCCTATTCAGCTCTGTGAATTCAAAAGATTATTTTATGTGACGATACTTAATTAAAAAAAAAAGCTAAGGACTATGTGAAAACAATAAAAGCTTCTTAAATTTAGTTGGATTTTGTTCTTAGTTATTTAGAAAACATAATGGGAAGCATGGAGGTTTTCAAGTGCTCTTGGATTCCAGGACACCCCTGTGACAGCACGGAGAGGACACTGGACCCAGGCCATGTGTTCTCTACAAAATAACAGCATGTTCTTGTGAAAATCCCTTCTCAGGACTGTTGTTTTCTCATGTACAACATTGGGATGTTGGTCCATATGATCTCAGAAGTCTCTATAAGTTGGAATTCCAAGATTTTTGTGCTTCTTAGGTGAGTTGTAAAGGTGGAAAGGGACAGCCAGGGGAAAAAAGGAGGAAGGCAAAATAGAAGAGTGAGACAAACTGCAAGGAGAGAGACGCAGGCAACCTGCCACAGAGGGTGTATGCAGGGGTGGGGAGGGAGGAGTGGCAGGAGGAAGTGAAGAGACAGGATGGAGGCCCAGTAGGTTGGGATATTTGACTCGGTAACAGCTTGCTGTCTGCTTGAGCTATGGGATTCATTGCTACTACTTTTTATCATTGTGCTTTGAAAGTTAATTAACCATTATTTATAGTTTTCACTTGTTTTCCAGCTTCCACACCCTTGGGTAGCTACAATAGCCCAAAGGGGAAAAAACAGGCTTTGTGACTTAGTGGAGATAAACAAATCAGTGTTAACTCATGAACCAATGAAGTGAAGCCCAGGCCCAGATATAAAATCCCGCCGCCAGAAGTTCCCCCGCACATCTAATGTCATGGCTGCTGTTGGACCAAGGAAACTTAAGTTCTCGTATCAGCCATACTCCTGACTTTAAGTCAATACGATAACCATTTTAATTTGGTATCTTTATAAAATTCAAGGGATAACATATCCTACTTAACTCTTAGGGATCCTATGTAAAAACAATGTTGAGGAAAGAGTAGTACAATTATTATCTTAATTATAAGCAATTGTTAACTTCTTCATGTTTCATGTTTTAGAGTTTTTGCTTTCCTAAAATGATATTCTCAAATTTAACGTTGTTGTTAAGACTGTGGGCTTCCAGTTTAGACTGCCTGAGTTTGAATGCAAGCCCTCCCATTACTTTCTGTGTAAATAACAAGGTACTCAACGTCTTATACTTGAGTTTCCTCATCTTAAAGTGGGGTAATAATGTTAGTTAACTCAGAGGCATTTTGTGAGGATGAAATGAAGTAATCCAAATACAGCTCTTAGTTCTTCATTAATTTTAAGTGGTTTTCATTGTTTTTCCTGAAGAACTATGACACATAGTCTGTGAGAAAGAATTGCCTTTTCTGATTTCAAGAGAAATTGTCTTCCATCTGCAACTCTGATGTAATGATGACAGTTAATCAATTAACCACTTGAAGCTGGTGCTTGACACCTGTAATATGGACCTGTGTAGCACAGTAAAATCATGCATGTTCTTGGTATTTGAATATATCAGTTTGTATAGATCTCACATATGAGTTCTGAACTCTGTGCTGCTTTGGGTCATATGATGCTTCTGAAGTAGCTGGTCAGAGAGTGACCCATTTCCTCCAGCCTCTGTACCAGAAATGCTTTGAGGTATTCTTGCAGTTATTTTCAGTTTTAAAAGATTTTTAAGAAATTATTACCAGCCTCTGCTCTGGAAGCTTTGTGTGGGGGTAAAAGTCTTCAAAATTAAAAAATATGGGAAACCATTAATCTGTGAACTTTTTTCTTAAACAGTTTTTTCAAACATCTATGTGTGCCCGCTCTTAATCCAGGTGCTTCCATACATGCCATTGCGTGTGAAAGTGGCTGACTTTGTGGGCAATTACTGCTAGCAGGGGTAGCTTTCCTTTTCTTTAAATACTCAGTAACTGCGGGTAAAAAGGCAGTGAGAAACTCTGAGAAAGTGAAAAAATGAGAAAAAAATGTACTATTTTCCTTTTCATCCCCCACATGCAACCTGGCTCTTTTCCTAGGATGAACACAGACTCCCAGTTTCCAGGAATATGAATGAGAGCAGCCATAGTTTTTATTTTTTTTCTACTTTTTTCCTATAGTGCAGTCCAAATTAATGTGCATGAACGGCCAAGATATTCGTGACAACCTTAGGCAGTGTTGAGAATTATGTAGATATTTTGCTCTTTATGGTGGCAACAATTTATTTGTGCTTAAACATTATGGTTTATTGATACAAACCCTTGGCGAAACAGATTTGGGAGTATGACATTTAACAGAATCTGGCTTCATTGTAGGGAGAATAGAGGCAATACCACAGATAATCTAATAATGATGATTCCTCCTAACTCTTTAGTTTTATTCATTAAGAGAGTAAATGAAACTGTATCTGATGACATGAAACTTTTTCATACAAGTACGATGTTATTGACCTAATAGTGCCTGTACCTTGGCTTTATGATTGGTAGAGGGGATGGATTTGGGGTGATCCATTTATTCTTTTTGCCAGGTCCCCTTGGGATTCACAGCAAGATTTGGCCAGATGACCAGCCGAGATTAGCCATGAAAGCAAAGCCTTAGAGCTCATAGCATTGGGTAGTGAGAAACAATAATAAGTGGCCATGTACTAATTATAAAATGGTAATAAATTACTCCCTTTAAAGTAAAGTATTTTTCAAGGCTGGTAGAAGTTATAAATTTATAGCCACAAATACTTACTGAGCACCTACTATGTGTATCATGCTACGTTCTGGGCATAAAGTGGTGAACAAGACAAGTATAATTCCTGCTTCCATGGAGCTTACTTGTACTCTTGCAGGGAAGCAAAACATCAAACAAAATATATACAGATAATTAGTTACATTTGTGGTATACACAACAAATAAAAAGCATAAGGTGCAATGTACATGTAAAATATAATAGGATATATAGTCTATATGACAATAATAGCTTGATCCAGTCTGGTTTGGGATGAGGGTACAGGCTGAGGATCTGATAAGGCTTTCCTGAGGAAGTACTCTCTGGGAAGCATTATATAGACCATGTTAGTAAACCATTATTATCAGGGCTCTGATGCACTCAAATGTCATCTTCAGTGGAAGGAGGCGGCGTGAATAAGCCTACTGTGTTTATCAAAAGTTCATTCAACAAAGTCAAAGTACAGAGTTCTGGAGGTATGTGGGCAGGGATTCTTTTTTTTTTTTAAGATTTTATTTATTTATTTGAGAGAGAGTGAGCACAAGTGGGGATGGGGGTTGGGGCAGAAGGAGAGGGAGAAGCAGACTTCCTTCTGAGCAGAGAGCTCGATCCCAGGACCCCGGGATCATGACCTGAGCCAAAGGCAGATGCTGAGCCACCCAGGCGCCCCTGTGGGCAGGGATTCTTAAGTATTTTTTTCTATTAACAAGTCTCAGCATTCTAGAAAAACAAGGGACACAGTTGGGAGAACAAGGAAACAGGAAGGGGAACTCAGTTTTGAATATCTCTGGAATAAAACTCTCTTCTGGTTTCTGGTTGGTTGCTTCACCCTCTCTTGTTCTAAGCCCTCTTGTCTCCTATTGAAGAATATTTTCTACAGAGGGACTTTCCAAATCTCTGACTTAGAGTTTATAAGTATCTTGCGGTTCGAACATTTTCATGTTTCATGTTTACTGGAACATGCATTCAGTTCATTCCTTGACAAATCTTGATTGAATGTGCATGATGTTCTAGGCACTGGGGATAGAGCAGTGGATATGGCAGATGGGGTCTGTATACGGAATATGTAGAAACTTACTATGTCAGCTAGTGGTAGTGCTACAAAGGAAAGTAAGGCAGAGTAATAGGATATAAAGAGACTGCTAGTTTAGATAGAATTAGCAAGGAGGATCCCTTTGAGGAGGTGATCTTTTAGCAGAGACCTGACTGAAGTTTTGCTTTGGTAATGAAGCCAGTGATCTCAAGGACGTTTTCTATTTATTTGTATATTGCCTTTTTGAGTTGGTTGATGAGATGTTTCTTCTGCTTGCCTAGAAGTAGCTTAAAGAGGTAGAAGAGAAGAGGGAAAGCAAGAGATAATATTGTTATTTCATGGCTAATATACAGTGTCTGCAGGAGCAGGAAGTTCTGAGCAGCCCCTCACTGGTACACGCATGTCCTTTTGAACATTATGCCTACATTTTAGAAGACTAGAATAATTCTAGGTTCTGTGTTAAATAGGCAAAGAGTACATGCCTATAAACTATAATGCTGTTGTCTTCATGTGGGACTCAGACTTTTGATGTAGACTTTTACTCTGAATTTAAAGTAAAAATTATGAGAGTCTAAAGAGAAAAAATAATGCAGCTTTTCATTTTAACTGAACCATCTTTTTAAAAATCAGAGGAAGATAAATAATTTGTAGGCAATTACTGACATTTGTGTTTGAGAGTATTTGCAATGAGTTTTCACTGAAGTGTTTCTCTTTGCTTTATAGGTACTGCTCTTGATTGACATCCAAGTCTCCTACATCAACACCAACCACGAAGATTTCATTGGGTTTGCAAAGTACGTGAAACACTTGATTGCCACATGCATTCTTCCTGCTAGTTTGGTTAGAATGCACATTGTGAATTTCTGCTACAACCCTACTACTTTTGAGAGCACATTCTGTGTCAGGATTAACTCTGAGTCGACCACGTAGGAGGTCTGAACCTCACAGCCATGAGGCCATGTTTTCTCGATAAAGTAGTTGGCTCTTTCTTTGTGCAGCATATGAAGTCATATGTGTCTTAGATATTCATTGTTTTTGGATGATGATCTGCAGTTTGTACTTGAACTCTCATAGATAAGCAGTAACAGATGCACATTTAAAATATGTTTGGGAATACTTTCTCACATAAATTTGAAGTATCAAATGCAATTCACAGGATCCAAGCTATTTTAATAACCCTAAATAAGAATATAGAGGTCTATTTTTTTTTAAACTATCTTTTGTAAACTTAGATGGAATCTTTTTGGATGAACATTCTCTTTTCTACAAAGTGTATATATTTTATATAAGCTTGTCTATATATTGCTATTCTGTCATACATGTATTCTGTTATATTCTAATATTCTATTGCTATATTCATGGATACTGTCATATAGATATGCTTAGTTATTCAGGGTTGGTTATTCATCATGTGACATTTTTAAGACCCTGAGTTCACCATTTTTTCCTGACCTTTAGTGGAACCAACTTTCCTTTGCTTAAAAAAAAAAAAGAAAAGAAAAAAGGAATTTTGATTCTAACTCTAAAATATATTTGTGGCATGTACATGGTTCCAACTTCGAGTATTTAAAACATAGTCTATTTTATATAAAATATAAAGGGGCCAAGTACCATTACTTGAACTGCATATTCAAGAACAGGGACAAGTAAAAAAAATATAACAACAAAATGTATTACAAATTTATTTAATTATACTCTGACTTAGAAGCAACAGGTATGTAGGTCATGTAAGCTAAACTACCAGTGGCCTGAGGAATTTGTAGGCATATGTTAGGGAGCAAAGTCCCAATTATCCAACAGAAAATTGTCTCATTCTAAACTTGGCTGTTGTCGTGATGGCTTAACCAACGGTGTATGTATATTTTGCATCCATTGTGTGGTAGATGAGTTTTTCTCAACTATTTTCTGTCTGTGACCTATGTGTAAAGTTGTTAGAGCACAGTGATGAATATGTTCCTTTGGTCAGTTGCCTTTTTCACCCCACTACCTACTCCAACTTCTAGATAGGTCTTTTCTCCACAGGCATTTCACATAGACCTGCCCTCCCCCCTCTTTTAGCCTCCGTGGCTCTCACCATCTGCATTGCTCATTTCCTTCTGCAAAATCACCAGTAGAAAGACACCTAGACTCTGATATGCCTCTCTATCCCTAGGCTTGGAAGGTGGGGGTGGGACTTGAGAATTTCTGCCCAGTTTCCAGCATAGTCAGTGAACTCCATGTGCTGGTGCCAAGCATTACACTAGTTGCTATGGGGGAAAATATATAAGAAAAAGAAAAAAAATATTTTTGTCTTTAGGAGCTTGCCTAATAATTGAAAAGTAGAGAGAAACACATGTAAAAAGTTAAGCTGACACATTCTCCATTTACTTCACTTGCTTCTTTGAGGAATTTAAAAGAACAACAAATCCTTGAGTCATTTGAAATAACAGGAATGCTGCCTTTAATGTTGATTTTTATTGGTTACAAATGCTAGTTAGGTTCTTATAAAAATGTAGCTGATGTAGATGTAAACTTGACACTATAACTTAAAAGTGAAAAGGGTGTTGCAACATTGCCCCGTTGTGGTACCTGATTTAAGGAAGAAACAGAAAAGAATCATAAGGAGTTTGGAAAGGATTCATATTCTTTTGAAAAGTTTTATAATCAGTGCTGCAATTTAATTTCACCTCTATAGTCTTCTTGAAACATACCCCCCATTACTTACCTATTTATTCATTTATAAAAATTTATTTATTTTAGAGAGAGAGTGAGAGAGGGAGAGAGAATGCGTGAGTGCGGGGTGGGGCAGGTAGGGTTAGGGGGAGAGGGAGAGAGAGAATCTCAAGCAGACTCTCTGCTGAAAGTGGAGCCTTACGTGGGGCCCAATCTCATGACCCTCAGATCATGACCTGAGCCAAAACCAAGAGTTGGAGGTTCAACCAGCTGAGCCACCCAGGCGCCCCGTACACTTATTTATTTTTAAAGATAAATAGTCCAGAGTTTCAATATTTTCTACCTCAGAAGCTGTTCAACTACAGTATTATATTGACTCGGTTTCCAAAGGCACATAATTTTGCAAATGTAAATACTTTCAAACTCAGCTTTTTGATTCAGTCTCCCTGTAATCCAGGTGACTGCCCCATTTTTCCAGCAGTGAGATAAAACTATGAACCTTTATGATGTTGGGGGAGAAAAAAGAAGCATTGTTCAAACTGCTTTAGAAACTTAGCAACTATGCACATTTTTCATCGAATTTAAAACTGCACATCTAAACTTTCTTTTAAAGGACTGGCCTGGGAGTCAGCAGTCTGGATATTTTTTTCCAGGGTTTGTCACTGGTGAGCTTTGGGTTTTGGCAAGTCCTTTAGCCTTTCTGTATCTCAGTTTACTGCTCTATCAAATGGAATAATAAATAATCCCTGTCTTGTGTACTTTTCAGGATTGTTGGAAGATCAAATTAATGAAGTTATGGGAAAGTGCTTTTGCAAACTGTGGTGTAGTCTGTAAAAGTGAGAAAGTGCCACACACACACACACACACACACACACACACTCACACACACAGATACCCAGAGGAATTTGATTACTAGATGTACCATTTTACTTTGTTATGAAATTTATGATGACTTGGGTATGATTGCCACTGGAATATTTTTTTAGTTGCTGATATTGTCTCTAAATGAGACTCAGAGGTGAATGTTCTTTCCATTTGTATGCTGAGTTGGAGTGCATTTCAGTGTGACATGGGACAATTATGAATATGAAGAAATGTTCATTTCAAAATCACTTAAGGGGTTGTGGTATTTTTTTGTGCTTTTAAAAATTAAAAAAATATGGTTGTAGCTATAAATTTTAAAGTTGGCAGGAATGCTGTTTCCATCAAAGAAGAAAAGTCAAGCCATATTTGAAGACAATTATGTAAGTATTTTTAAGTTCCAAAGATAGAAAATTAAGGTCTGGAGTTGAGGAAAAGAAGCATTTATTTCATGAAATTTTTAGAGAGTTGCCAAAAGAGGGGGACCACTTCTCAGATTTATAGGATGGTGATAGACATAGCATTTTACACACACATATATTTTTTTCACCTGGGATGACTTTTGTTCTAAAAATTAAAAGAAAAAAGAAAACAAATTGCTAAAATTAGATGAACAGAATATTAATTCTCAAAGTAGTGTTCAGGACATCTCAAACTTGTCCTTTCTGCTGTAGACCGTATTCCGCCATGCTGAATGTGTGGAAATTTTTTTTCATTTCCCAGCTATTTGTTAAACATGGACCATAAAATATGTACCACGTGTAATGTGTCCAAGAAAGCACTGCTGTAGGCTTGCTTTGGCATTTCTTGATTTCTGAAAGCTTGATCTTTCAACTATAATATAGTTTCTGAATGTAACAGTCCAATATTTCAGAAGAAAATGTCCACTTTCCTCATGATTTAAGGATTTTAATTTATCATTCTTCTCTGTTGAAAAAAACAACAACCCTACATTCTATTTGTTTTACACAATACTAGTTTTTGTTATGTAAGAAAACAAAAGCTAGTCCAATTATTCTTTTATTCACTTCCCCTCTTTCCCTGTAATCCTGCTGTATTTGAATAGAAAGGCAAGCTTGTTAGCTGAATGCCTTGGGAACTGAACTTTCACATTCTTGGGCTCTTCTTCATTTGTTCCATGGGCACAATTTGCCTTCTGTCTATGACTTATGCAGTCCAGTGGTTTAAGAGAAAAACAGGCTCCAGATATAGACCATTAGAATAATTATCTCTGTGCCACGAGCAGCAGACCAAGGTCCATTTTTCAATCTGCTCGGTCAGTCTCAACACCTGTTTTCTCATAGCTGAAATGATACAGTGTGCAGATTTCAGTTCTTGTTATATGAGTACCATGAAAATTCTATTGGTTGTAATATTCATTGTATCTCTTTCCTGATCCTCTGGAATGCCTTTGTTGCAAAGGTGGTATATGGGAGCCTTGGCACCAAATTTTAGAGCAATGTTGGTTTTTCCCTTTGCATTCTCCTTTTTTTCCTAATACATAATTATATTCTATTATTATAGTGTTTCTAGCTCCTATTCTTACATGAGAATGTCCTCTCTTGTGGAATCAAATTTTAGGTATTATAACAAGATTATTCTTTTGACTCATGCAAATTCAGGAATTAAATGCTTGGTTGCTTACTGGGACTAGTATTGGGTAGAAATATAGGGTTGAACAATTTGCAAGGGCATCATTGGTATCACCTATTCAAATAAGTTATGAATTCTAATGTTTTAAGCACCATTTTAAAAATAAGCAGACTTGTACTTTTCTCTTTCATTCTCAAATCTGTTATTTTGAATATTATCTTCATCCTTAAAATGGATCTTAGGAGGTGAGTCATCCTTCTTTGATAGGCCCCCAAGTTCTAGAGGGTTTTCTTGCATAATATTTAGCCTGTGACTTCACTAAAGATCTTGCAGGGGGAATTGACATCATGTAGTTTTCTTCCCCTTTTGGCATCAATCTGATTGGACGGAGCCAAGCCAGCATGTGATAAGCTGCACTCTTGGGACTCTCGACGGGTGTTCATAATCTTCTTGGGGTAATATAAAAGAACATTCTGAAAGAGCTTCTTAACTTCAGAGCAGTGCCGTCCAATAGAACTTTCTGAAGGGATGGGAATATTTTATAATCTGTGCTGTCCAATACAATAGCTTCTAGCCACATATACCTATTGAGTAGCTTAAATGTGGCTAGTTAAAACAAAAGAAATGTAATGAAATGAAAGTTAAATTTTAATTAATTAAATTTTTGATTTAAATAGCCACATTTGGC